TGCCCGTAGTTTATTTCAAGACCTTTAGGATTTTTATTTAAGTTTATTATTTTATTTCTTTGCAATTATTTCTCTTTAGGATCAAAGCAAAACCTACAAACCTGTGGAGGAGTGCCTCTCGTTAGAGCCGAACGAATTGTTACCGTTTTCTAGTCGTATTTATTTTCAGGTTTTCATTTTAATAAATTATTATTTTCCTTTAATTCAATAATCATATTTACTTTGTTGTCTGGCTTTTATTATTCTGTGATTAAGTTTTATAATATGCTAGGCTAGATTTCTATACCGGTATGTAAGGTCATAAAACTGAGGGAATTTGGTAATACTATTGGTTATTTATTTGTTGAACTATTTTCTGGACTATATTACTTTGTTTTTAATGATGAACCGTTTTTTTAGGAGATTAAAAGACGAATAGAAGTTAAGTTCAATAAAGTGAGAGCTTGAGGATCTTTAACTGGACAGTAGTAATTAGGCATTGGCTTTAAAAACAACGAGAGCGCTTTAAGGAGAATTAGAGTTTATTTGTTTTCAAAAGAATTTTTTTAACTCCGAAGGGATAGCGAGAGCATATGTTAGGACTTAACTGCATAAACTAAATCAACAACCACAACAGTGTGAGACGAGGGTTTTTAAACTGATAAATTTATACTGAGAATTGTTGGAAACTGCAAGTTACCAAATAGGTTATTAATTCCCGAAGTCCGATCCTTACATACTGGTTGTTTCCCCCTCTGATTATTTAATTAGATTCAAACTTACTTTTAGTTCCCATAATCTAAACCAAATATTTTTAGCCTTGGATTTACACCGTAACACTAGATAATGGTACGTTTGACTTTTGGTCCTTTGGGTTCGATAATCTTTAAAACTACGCGATAAGACTGTGCACTTGCAGTCTAGATTATTTGGACTACCATATATGTCGATCAAAGACCTCCCCAACTAAGGTGTTTCTTGCTCCACTCCTGAGTCTCTTTGAAAAGCTTCGGCATTGCAGACTGTTTTGGCTTCTGCATCAACTCTTGGATAAGCATATTCCTCTTGCTAGTAAATAACTTCTAAATAGCATAAATGGTGCTCCAAATGGTTACTTTCTTCTTAAAGTTGATTGTAGTTAACCTCCTCTGGGTGAGATTCAATTCTGGGTCCACTAGCTGCAGCTTGTGAATTCTCTTTGGGTTTTACAATCTATGTTAGAGCTTTTGTTCAACTGGAACTTAAGCCTAATGAGCTGGTGATCCTCCTTCTCTTTTTGGCGACATTCTTCCTTTTTATCATAAAAAATGAGGTAAGCTATTCTCAAGCCATTACCGGTTCTTACTCTCTTTCGACTTTACGTTTGAACAGTCTCTTCTACATGCCTTAGCTCATTCCTTTCACAAATAGCTCTATAGAGTTCTTTCTTTAACTCTTCAACTTCTATTATGAGCTATTGATTGACATCTTGGTGATTGTTGAACTCTTCAATAGGCAAAAAATGTGTTGAATAGGGGTTTATGGATACAAAGGTAATTCTACAGGAAAAGATAGATGAATAATCTCAAATCTCTTCCTAACCCAATCAATATAGGGGCCTTCATCCCTTCTTCTGAGGTGAATTTCATTCCAGGCTTTACTAGCATTCATCATCAACTCAGGATTTCCAGTCACAGTATAAAGAATGGAATCTTCCACATCCTTGTCATTGGACTGGTCATGCATCTCATAACCCAATTGGCATTGAGAAAGGACAATATTATAATTTATACCTCCTCCTACCCTTAAAAGGAACATTCGGGAACTCCCTACAACTGTAAATAAACTCATCATAATCATAACTTATGGAGTACCAAATAACATCATGGGTGGAAAAACCCACAGTCTTCTTAGACCACTTCATAGAAACCTTAGCATCCATAAAAACTCACGCACTGAATGATAAACATCACCAAGAAGGTAGGCACTAGATTCATATCTAAGAAATCCTCAACATTTGGGAAGAGCATAATCTCATAAATGGAAAAGGCCAAGATTGCATTGAATGTATTCCAACTAGCTGAATCAGCAAAGGCATGACCCTTCTCAACTAGAAACTCCAGATGAAACCTAGAAATGCATCTTTTAACCATAAGGTTGTCTTTCCCAACAATTTCGTTCAAATAAAGATCCTCTGCAATCTAGGGAAATCCAGAAACCTCCATCAAAGTGTTAAAAGGAACCTGATTTTTGATTGGAATCCCCAAGATATATAAGAATATTCCCCCAAAGCGGGAGCAAGCTGATAATATGGAAATATGAAGCATCTCAGAGAGTGATCATAAAACTGAAAGAGAGTATGAATAGCCCTCCTTTCAAAAGGTGTAATATGAGTGTGGAGAATATCCATAATCATCCCATACTCTGGTTTGAAGACCTCTATACTGTCTGGAGTGGCCTTGGAAACCAAATCAAGAAGAGACTTCATAGTAGGTATCATGAACTTGTAACCAATGGCGTTTCTTTTATCAGCGTCTATCTCAAGAGGATAAGCTCAACACAAGACTCAAAGATTGAGATATTATGGTGACACAAGACATATATGTCATGATAAACTCCAGGTAATGTTGTGATGATATGTAATGCACAAACATATAATCGAAGGCATGAGATCAAATGTCCTCATATAATCTGGATAACTGTTGTACAACCTTATGAACAAGTAGAACAAAGCATGTTCAAAAGTCCGGCGTCAGGAGCATGGAGCCAAAGTAACAACCAACCGACAAGGTATGAACTAATAATTTATGACGCCGAACAAGGTTCTAAAAGGTTCCCAGAGTCTACATCATTCCTTCGAATATTACCAACACCTCGGTTAACTCGGTAATTAGTAATATTCTCAGGAAAAAACTCGTCCGAGCATAGTATCGCATGACAACCATTTCCGGATTACTCCATCATAGCTTTCGCACTACACCTAAAAGGCTAAGATGGGTTAAGGGTTCTACGGTCCTTAGCTTCAGCAGGCTCCCAGGTCGAAAGCAGCACGTCTTCCTGATTACTCGGTAAACGATAATACAGTCAAAGGAGCCTCCACTGAGTAGGGGATCTCATGTCTTCTTTTTTGGGATTACTCCCTCAAAGTTAACATGACTATACCGCCCGTCCTAAACATAAGTGCACTCAAGTCCGGAAATAGGACTTATCTCACCACACAAAATCACTGAACCCTGAAAACCAGAAAAAACCTGTAAACAAGCATATATACAACAAATAATATACAACAAATAATAACAAAGAGAGGCTCAACCCACTTAGGGATGGACCAGCATTTGGTCGATCTCTCCCTAGCAGAGTTGCCATTTTTCTGTAGCTGTAGAAATGTTGAGACTAAGCCATCGGATTTACTTGACTTGCACAGGTCAAAATAAAAATATCCATCGCGCTTTATTATTTCCAAACGAATGGGAAAAAGAGAGTAACCCAAAAGAGGGGGAAAGATTCTAGGTAAGGGGGTTGGTTATGCAAAGGGAAGGTATTAGCACCCTAAATATCTACGGTACTGCGCATGAACCTCTTTGAAAATTTGTGTATTTTGGCTATAAATGTTGTATAAAAAATAGATGGTGGAGATGAGAAAAGAAGTATTTTTTACAATTTTTGCACCCGCCGCGGTTGTGAACCTTTAGTGCCTACGTACCACCTTCCGTGCAATATGGGATCAGGGTACTCATAGTTCACTTTTAAAAATTTTAAAACACAAGGGTGTTGGTTAATTTTAAGAGATGAGACATCATCGTCGTATCCGAGTGGAAAACATACTTACTACCCATGATTATGAGAAAGGAGAATTTGCATCATCTCAAAGTGGAGGATATGGCTTGGATTTTAAAATCAACAAAGCCTCGCTCAACACCCAAGTGGAAAATATCTCCCTTAACTATATATCGTAGAAGTATAGTAGCTCACATCACTAGAAGAATCGACAAGAGTCCGATCTTCTGAGAAAAATAGTTTTAAAGTAAAAAGTCAAAATGGCAAAGTAATTTGAATGGGGTTGATTGACTTTTGGTCTTCTCACAAAAAATGTCAAAGTATGATTAAATTGGTTAAAGTTTGATTAGAAAAATATTTTGAAAAGGCGTGGACCTAAGTCCAAGTTTATTGTGAAAGCGGTTCGAGTTTAGAAAATAAGAATAGTTTTGAAAAGAGTGAGAAGATTTTTAAAGAGAAAAGTGAACAAAAGGAACAAGATGATTTGAATGAATTAGAGTATTTTATTGGGAGAATATCGCAAAATGGCCCTAAGGTTGAATTTAAGGGAGAAATTCTACCCTAAAATGTTATCATGCTTGGATTTAGAGCCTAAAGTCTATTTAATTTGATTTAATTGAAGGATCAAAATTGAATTAAAAAACCTAAGGAAATATGACAAGATCACACAAGCAACAACAGTAATCAACAAACACATATAGGTAGCAAGAATTATTCAAAACAGTACCAAGAAATTCACGCTATGAACTAACCAAAATTTATACAAAAATACATGGTAAAAGATCTAAAAATACTAGAATTAGGAAGAGATAAAAATCTAATTAAAAGATCTAAAATAATTCCTAAATAATTCATATTTTTATTGTTTATATCTGACTTTTATTACTAATTTTGGTAAGAAAGGTTAGAATAAATTTAAACTAAAAAAAACTAAATCAAAAAAATAAGTTAGAAGAGAAAAAGGGGTGTAAAGCATAATCGGGTAGTGGTGCAAATAAACCAAGGCCAGGCGCTAGGCCCAAGTTGTAACCAGTCCACCCGAGTTTTTTCTATTCACAATATGAGCTTCCAAAAACGGTGGCAACAGACCTAATGGGGGTGCACACAATAACCAGGCTCAACGATGCAAAATCCAGGGAGAAGTAAGGTCCAAAACCATAGTCTAACATCCTTTCATCCAATTTTCAATTATTATTATTATTATTAATATTTACTATTATGAAAATAAATAAAAATTAAAGAAAGAGAATGTCAAAAGAAAAATAATGGCGTCGTATAGAGGTTATGTTAGGGTTCAAAGAAAAAGTGGCGTTCAGACTTCTTCAGCAAACACGATCTCCTTCTCTCTCAATCTCATATGCGGCGGCTCTTCCTTCTACGCGCCTCTCTGCCGCTCACCTTCTGGCTTCAATCATCGCAGCCTCATGCTTCCGAATCAACCTCTCTTAGGCGAGACGTTATTTTATGCCTCAGGCTTCAACCATCGATCTTCTTCTCACAGCGAAAAGTGCCTCAGCACACGATATCCGTCTTCGTCGTATCGAACTTCATGGATCGACCTTCTCCATTCTTGTTTCATCATCTTCGTTCTCGCTCGCTCAATTATTCCATATTGATCTCGACCATTTCTATCATCTTCGCTTCACTTCAGACAGCGTGACCCTTCCATTAACATCTTCGTATCAGCTCTGATTCTGCTTCTTCACTCTCAATCTCATTCTCCATAGATTTGTCTCAACGTCTCAACTCAGATTATGCAGTGATGAAAATATTCGACTTAATCAATTCAAGCAAGACAGTAAAATTATCTAAGGATAGCATGGAGTATACTTACCTACCAAGGAAAGTCCGATGCCTTCTTCAAATAGGATTGCAAATTCAGAGGTAAACTCGCTTCCACTGCTTCTTCGAAATCACTTCCTCTTTAGATTTTTTTTTTACCATTTGTTTCCACTGATTTCTTGTGTATGTGATTTTGATATTGTTTTGATGGATGCAGATTAATAAATTGATGCAAGCAGATTACAGTAACATTGAAGATGATGCAGGTTTGATGAAGTATACGTGATGTTGATGATCATTTTAGAGAAGCAAATTCAGATTTCTTGATGAAGATGAAATTGTGCAGAGAAGCCGTTAGAGAGTGAGTTTTTGGAGAAAAATGCATAATGAATCGTGGAATCCTCAGAGAGAACTCCAAAGCTTCTCTGAGATGTCTTTGCAGCAATGGATCGTGTACCCCAAGATTGAAGCAGGAGTTCAGATTTATATTTACAAGAGTTTGTTATAGGTAAAGCCATCCCAACCTTTGATTTAGAAATTCTATTGCAAAAATGGAGAGCTAAGATTGAAAGTTCTTTTTTCTCTGAAATTATATTATGAAGCTTGTTATAGAAGCTTGATATATGATGAGCTGTTCAATCTGATATGAAGCTTGCTCTGAAATTTTCTTTCTATATTTTTAATCCCTGATTTATTTTCTTCTGAATTTTTTGTGTGAACCGAGGCAACAATATTTTTACTCAGTTTTTTTCTCATTGCCTTTTACTTCAGTTTTGATGAACTGGCTTAAAACTTCTCCCAACTTTCTTCTGTTTCGGTGAATTTTCTCTTTAGATATAATATTTTTTTCTTCTGATTTTCTACTGCCACAAAACTTATGCAGAGCTAATTTTAAGAAGATATTTTGGACAAGATTGCAACCACCTTGGAGTTGTTTTGGTTCAACATGGCACAAGAAAAAATAATGGAAATTTTGGACAGTTTTTGACAAGAGCTCATGACCTGTTTCAAAGCTGCTTTGATACAACCCGGAGCAAGAAAAATGACAATTGATTTTTGAATATTTAAACTATTTTGAAATGTGTAAAAAAGATAGGTATTTTTTAAGTGAAAAAGATGGATATTGTTATTGAAATTTGGATGAATTTGAATGTAACTTGAATATTTGTATACTTTAATGTAATTGAAAAGTTTTTTCTTGGATGAATATTGAATGAAACATTGAAACATTTGAATGATATTTCACAATCTTGAATGAAACTATAGATGATGAATGTTGATTTTGAACTTAGTAAATGCTTGAACGTGATCATGATGAATGCCTTTGCAACTTGTAATGAACCTTGCATTATATTCCAAGTGACTTGTACGCCAAGAAATCCACATGAATTTTGTTTCAACTTAGCATATTTGAATCGATCTTAATGAACAAAGTATATGCCTTGAGAGTTTTGATATCAAGTTTGAACATTCTTTGAGCTTAAAACAGATCCACATGAATGGACTATGCTTTGCACACTTGAATTGATCTTTAAGAATTTTGAGTGAACTTGAATAACTTGAAGTCCAAATAAGCCCTATGAATTATCTTCCATCTTTATCTTAAACAAAATAAATGCTTGAGCTTGATGTCCAAATGAAACCAAGATCAATACCTTGAATCATGCTCTTTATTAAATCACATGAAAATAACACACTTGAATGAATGTCTTCATAAAAAATGAATCCAAATTAACTTGCAAGCAACAAGTAGTTGAATAGGCGACAATACCTTGATCACAAAGAATTCTCAAATTCATCTTTTGTGCCATGATTCATTCTTTTATATTAATCAACAAACCCTCTTGTCTTGACAATGTACTTTCTTCCATTGACGAATTTGACACAAATACATGCTCTTGAGGAAAATTCCAAACCTCTCGAGAAAAATTAACTTGTGGAGCAGGTAATTAGGAGAAAACCTAAATCTCTAGACCTTGAGTGCATATGGATGAAGAAGGCTTAGGATGGTGAGAGGAATAAAACTCTAACTCAAGAACATCCTTAATGAAGTCATGATGAAATCTTAAGCACACAAATTAAACCCTAATGCACTTATTCTTCGAAGAAAATTCCAATGAAGAAAACTTTGTATCTTGAGGAATCTTGCCAAGGAAAATATCCATGATGCTTGTTGACCAAAAACCCTGGTTTTATACCAAGAGTGATGAAAGAACTAGTTGAATTACCATGAGGAAGGTAACAACCTCAATTCATAGGGAAAACCCTAATTCCAAGAGCTTTTTCGTCTCATGCTTTAAGATCTAAAGTGAATGAAAGGTTTATATTGTAAATGCATATGATGTTATGGATGAACAAATTATAGGTAACAAATGGGGTATGACACCAAAGACCTGATATTCCAAGAAGACAATTTACAAGGATCAATATGTTACTAATTCAAGCCCTACAACACCTATTGAAGGATAATTTGGTAACATCGTGTGATCCTACTTCAAGTCCCAATGTTTCATCTCTAAAGTATAACCCGAACGCCAAATGTGTTTACCACTCCAATAGTTCCGGACATGACATTGATCACTGTTGGGCGTTAAAATGCAAGATTTAATACCTCATTAACAACAAAACCATTGAATTTGATCATCCTCCAACTCCAAATGTAATCACCGTTCCTATTCCAAATCATGGAAAAGGTGTCAACGCTATTGAAGATACTGCTTTTGTTTCCTCTGTTAATGACTTGACCACTCCGCTAAAGTTTGTTAAAAATAATTTGTTGAAAGATGGAGTTTTCCCTGGTTTCCTTGAGGATTATTGTTGCTGTGCTGTGCAAATCAATGGTTGTGAATGGTTGAAAAGAGGTGTCCAACACCTAATTGACAACCATGAGATCCTATTCGAAAGAACTCCACCTATAAAAAGTTTGACTGAAGTTGTGCCTCAAGAAGTTGAAGACATATCCATCATCATTATATCCAACAAACCTATTAGGACCACTTCAAAAGGTCCTATTAGGATTTCCAATGAACCGAAGATAGCTCCATTGATAATTACCACACCGAGGCCAGTCCCTTATTCTTCCGATAAGGTGGTACCTTAGAATTATGGCGCTGAAATATACTACCATGGTATTAGACAACACTCCTGGATTGATGAAGACAAGACTGCTGATATTACCAACATTGTTGGGACTAGCAAGGTGACTAGAACGGGGAGAATTTTCTCTCCTAATATTTACCTCCAACCATCGCAATTACACCTGTTCGCATTACTATTGACAAACTTAGTACTGATGTTAGGGGCAAAGAAAAGATGATTGAGCCTGCCAGGATGGAGGCGCCTACCAAAGGCATTATTACAGAGGAACCCTCTACCCAAGAAATGGAGGAGATTTTGAAGATTATAAGGAAAAGTGATTATAAGATAGTAGAGCAGTTGGGGAAAACCCCTTAGAAGATTTCTATGCTATCTTTATTACTATGCTCAGATGCACATGCTCAAGCATTGATAATTTTTTTGAAGAATGCGCATGTTTCTCAAGAGACTACGACCGATCAGTTTGAAAATAATGTAGCGAGTTTGATTGCCGATAATGGATTGGGATTCTTGGATATTGATTTAACTCCCACCAGAAGAAATCACAATAAAGCTTTGCATGTCTCCATTGAATGCAAAGGAACAACTCTAGCCCATGTATTGGTGGATATTGGTTCCTCTCTGAATGTCTTGCCAAAAGGTGCCCTAGATCGATTGGATTTTGAAGGTTTGGTGTTGAAGCCGAGTGACATTATGGTAAGGACTTTCGACGGATCAAAAAGGATGGTCCACGGGGAAGTTGGTCTCCCCATCAAAGTTAGGTCTCAAATTTTCAATTCAACTTTCTATGTGATGGATATTCATCCTGCTTACTCTTGCCTACTTGGACGCCCATGGATTCATGAGGTAGGAGCGGTGAATTCCACTCTACATAAAAAGTTGAAATATCCGGTCAAGGGAAAGATTGTTACCGTCTGTGGTGAAGAAGAGTTTATGGTTAACCATCTAAATTCGTTTAAGTAAGTTGAGATGGACGGCGAGTTCATAGAAACTCCTTGTCAAGTCTTAGAAGTGGTCTCTCCCATGGTTGCTGCTGCCAAAGCTACTCCTAATGTTCCAAAAGCTATTAAAGATGTGCCTAGGATGGATTCCCTCAAAGATGGTTGCGCTGTAATTGAAGACAGAGGTTGTACCATTTGGGGACAACTCCCTGACATCCCTTTCAAATAGGACAAATATGGTTTGGGCTTCACTGCCAAAGCTCAAAAGGATGTTAGACGTGCTCGTGCGGGGAAACCACCTCTTCGCATTAGTAATCATGAAGCGAATGCTCTTGAAGAATCTGACGATTATTGTGACTTTGATGGTTGGATCTACCCGACTGCTGATGAAGGGCTCAACAAATGGTGTACCAAGGACTTCAACAAGGAGTAATTACCATTTACTATTTTATCAATTTAAGAACTTCGTCTGTAATTTTAATTGAAAAAATGACTTTAAGTCATGTGCCATGCCCGGGGAACCATGGTCCATTTGTTAAGGGTTTGTTCATTTTCATATGCCATATGATCATTTAATGAAAAACATTGGACTCTTTTGCATTCAAATTTTGCGTTCATTGTTTTTTTTTTTACTTTATTGCATTTACAAAATAGCCATGTGACATTACATGCACACACGCACATTTGCAGATCCACATCCACTCCGGATCTCATTGACAACGACTCTGCTATTGCCATCTATGACTTTGAACATCTAATCTACCAAGCCGAAGACAAAGGCGAAGAAGATTGTGAAA